TAATTTTAAACAGCATCATTCACAGCAGCTCAGAGCCTCGGTTTCATCCTCACATGGGTGTTGTGCGCGCACACGTCACTTGTTTTTAAAGACCGGGCAAAATCTGAGCTCAGTGACTTTGAGGTTTTTTCCAGAACTGAAATAAAAATTATGTTTACAGAGAAAAGTATAGCCTTTACGTGTATTTTTAAGGAAAAATAGTAACCCAGGGAGGAAAAGGACCGGAAGGATCTTGTGCCCGTATAGATGGTAACCTGGAGCGGTAAGGACGCCTGGCAGGCAGTCGCCCGAGCACTGTGTCCAGGGCAGCTTGCCAGGACGCGGCAACTGGAGGAGGGCCCGGGCCATCGTGGCCCTCAGTGCGGTCCGCCGGGATCCGAGAGCATAAATAAGAGGGTGACCGCAGAGTGGCGGGGCAGGGTTCTCGCACTGTCCATGCCCCTGTCCATGCCCCCGCAGAGCAGAGACTTAGGCCCTTCCCTCTGCTGCCACCGCTGGGGCCAGCCTGCCAGCTTTGGGGCGCTTGGTGGCTGTCGGGGGATGACCTCTGGCTGCATCTCTGGGTAGGAGAAAGACCATTAGCCTTTAGAGTCACGTATTCCCCTGGAGAAGCCAAAGAACACATCTTCTGGGTGAGAAGCTGGCAGGAACCTCGGCTCAGTGCTTTGGGAGCTGCCAGTGTCTTGGGCCGCAGGGAGGGAAGGAGTGCGGGTGCTGCCCGCCTTCTGCCCGCTCATTGGTTTCTTTCCAGTCTATAGCAAAAAACACAAAGCAAAACAAACCAGTGGTGGGTGGGGCTGGTAGCTGGGTGGGTCCTCCTCTTATTTGCCTCTTTCCTCCTGTCTTAACTGCCCACTGCTCCCACCCGGACACTCGTATCAGAACATCGAGCAACAGGCAAGCGTTCTGAGGAGCAGTGGTGGCAGGTGTGGGAGGGGAGGGGTGGGTGGGGAGCTGCTGAGAGGTGGCAGGACTTCAGTCTGTCCTCCTTTCCGTCCTTCCTGAGTTCCACACCTGGCCAGGCTGGGGCACCTGAAGGCGGAGCAGGCCTGCCCTCCCCGAGCTGTGAGTCCTGCCACAAGTTTTAAAACATAGGTTTCGTTATTATTCAGGGATGGTGATGCCAACTGATTAGGTGATGGCCATTGAGAAGACAAGCTGCTCTCACAGTTTCTAAGAGGAGGCCCACGCCGGCAGCACCAGGGCAGTCAGGAGGCAGAGGGAACCATGGGGAGATCTGCACAAGAGCCTTCATTGTGGTTTCAGTGGGAAGGAATGGGCGAGATGGGGTCAGCAGGCTCAGCAGGGTTAGGACTGGCTGGTTTGATAATTTTGAAGGTCCTGGTGCATGTGGGCTGTCTCTGGCTGTCTGCTACCCAGCTCTGGGGAGGTGAGTGGCCCAGAGTGGAAGAGCTGGACAAAGGCAGTGGTTGGCTGGGGTGTGGGCTCTGCATTTGTTAGTGTGCTTTGGAAGATGTGCTACCAGAGGAGTCATTTGATCTCTAGGAACAGACTGGCCCTGGGAGGGGCAGTCCCTTCAGTGTCAGCAAGGGCCCAGATGTCAACGCATCGAAACCTGTGGTTAATACAGGTGCACACACACCAGTGTGAAGGGAAAAGTGCTCCCACGTGGGAGGAGCAACATGAAATGCTCCGGCATTCTGAGAAACAGCTTTCTGCTTAGACTGGTTTGGGTTTTGAAGAGTGTGCTGAGGGGGGAGAAGGTCTCAAGGGAGGCAGGAGACATTTGATTCACCCATCAAAAGGGATGTGTGGCAGTTAGGGGCGCGGCTTGCTGCAAATGGAGAGCTCTGCCTGGACAGAGGCCCAGAACTGGAAGGTGTGTGAAGGGACCTAGCAGGAGACACGTGTCAACAAAAGGTCCCTTCCACCAATCAAAGGCCAACAGGAGCCCACAATCTGTGGTTTGGTGAAAGGAGAAACTATTCAGGTGAACAGTTTGCAAACTGGGGAAATGCAGCCTCAGGTAGAAACTGAAAGTGTGTTCCAGGGAGATAAAGGGAAGGCTGCTTTTTATAGAGGAAGTTCTCACCTTGGTTACTGATTGGTCCATTTTTATGCAAATAAAGAATCCAAATTTGCACAGTCTGATTGGTTGAAATAGCGCATTCTGATTGGTTATTATGGAGCTGCTCTGATTGGTCAGTAATGAGGATATACCTGTGCAGTTTTGATTGGACAAGGTAGGTCTCAGCCCATTGGTAGAAAAATGATACCAGGAGCCCCTTTATAAGGGGAAGGGGGGGTCAGTACAGCCAGCAAGAGCACAGTGCCCGAGGCCTGGCAGCCCAGCCTGTGGCTTTTCCACGAAATTTAGGCCACTGTATAAATAATGGCTCCTAGTCTTTGTTATGATTTTTTAGCCCAGTTAACCAGAGGAGTCCTTTTTGGCAGTATATTCCTTCTTGAGGTCAAAACAAATGGTTGGAACACTCAAGTATGGCCAAAGTCAGCTCCTGAATGCCCAACTGAGGCATCTGGTATCATCTATACGAGCTGGCAGAGCAGTCAGCCCTCTGTGATTTCTCCTAATGAATTCATAGGCTCACAGTCTTAGAGCTTGATCAACAAGTTAGGGTGCTGGTGTAAATTTATTCTGGATGAAAAAAGAGATCTACTGGGGCAGGGGTTGAAAACTCAGAGACCCCCAGGCCTGTAGGTAATACCAGTGAGTGACAAGGCTCTGGGGACTGCAGGGGACAGCCAGTCCCAGCTGAAGGGTCAGAGGCACCTGAGCTCCAACAGATCACATTACAGGAATGGGGTCTGGAGTTGCCAGCTCTAGTTTTCAGACAGGCTGGAAATTCAGATCTTGTTATGAAACATCCTGAGTTTTGTGAAGTCACCTTGAATCTTGGCGGAACCTTAGCTGAGCTCTCCCCTTCTTATCATGATGGAAGACACTGGGAGGCCTGCCACATGGACCCTTGGTGGCCTGTTTGTCCTCTGCACCTGTCACCCCACTTGAACTGTGAGGGTTAAAGAGGAAATGGGATGAGTACAAGGGGTGCCTAAATTGGGAAACTGAGGAACATTAGGGCATCAAAGATGATTTCTGAGTCTTGATCGAGCATGTCCTAGTGGGCAAAACTTATTCGTTCTGGAGATTTTGAATTTTGCTGTGTGCTGGGCCTAGACTGAGACTGCACACTCTCAAAAAATACCACCAGAAAATTTGATAGGATGCTCTGGAAAATTGTATTATTATAATTACTTTTCAACAAAACTAAAAGGTGCTGTGATCAGTCTCTTCTTATCCTGTCACTGGTGAAGTCTCCTGAAATGGTCTTCTGGTAGCACGTAGGAAACACTGTGTTTGACGGGAGTGGGTGAGTGGGGGGCATGCACAGGGCTCTCCTGCTCAAGCCACCCGGTCTGGCTCTGCGTGCCAGGCTGTGAGCTCAGCGACTGGGCCTGGCCTTCCTGACCCTGGTGGGGTGACAGCATGAGCAAGTGTGCAGATGCCCCCCAGAGGAGTGAATCTCATGCGGCGGTTTCTGGTTTTAGTAGACAGTATTTTAGACAAACAGCCATAGAAAAAGGTGCACTTATAATCACAGTATTTAAAATGAAAGTCAAGAGGGTAAGGACAAATGGAATTTGTAAAATGACCTGACACTGTGATGACGCCACTGTCGGGGTTGTGAGTTTTTAGATGGTTTTGCAGTGGTCTAGCCAAAGCTGAGAGGTTTCCTTCGGGTTATCAGGCCTCGTTGGTGCCTTACCCTGCGGTGTGGGGTGGGGTGGACAGAGGGCAGGTGGACAGTGTTCCTCTGCAGGGTGTCAGACTGTGCCCGGGGGGCCGTGCTCGTAGAAAACTAGCCTCACAGTGCTCAGAGCAGCTGCCGGGTGTGCTGATTGTCACGTGTGTCCTCGCTATGTCTCTTCCACACTACAGGGCTGGGCGTGAATTCTAGACACCTTGAGCACTAAAAAGATTATGGCACCTTTTAAAATTTCAAATAAAGACAATTACTAAAATATAAAGTTAACATTTACAGAAGTCTTCATCATGTATAAAATTAAGACAAGTTGCTGCTTCCCCTCTCTCTTTGATGGATGGACATCTTCACTTCACTGGGGTCTGAAGCACATGCCCTGCCTGTTTGATGATGTAGACTGTGTACCTGTGTGGATATGCCTGTGTGTGTGTGTGTGCACATGCATGCATGTGTGCATGTGTGTTTATGTGAGTGTGAACTGTTCTTTCAGAAATCAACATAAAGGTCAGAGGTGTTCAAAGACAGGATGTTGCCCCACCCAGGACTGTAGAGATCAGCCTCCAGGGCAGAGGGCTGACCTCCCACAGGCTGAGGGATGCTGTAAGATTGGTCCGTGGGCATTGTCTATGGGGACAGTCCCACACCAATTATAAACTGCTCTAAGGAAGGCCTCAGTTCACACCGATGCAACTGCCTCAGAGCAAAATGCAGCACTGTCCACGGGCACAAGATTTCGAGCTTGTCATGGAGAGCACCTCCTCTGTGTGGAGCTGTGTGTGTGTGGGGGGGTAGTGGGCTGAAAGGAATGACCCCCTGTGAGTCTGACAGCGCACCAGCGTGAGCGTCGCCTCCCTGTAGAGAATGTCCTTTTGAAATATGTTCTAGGATGCTGCTCCCATCCTGCTAATTATGTCACAGACTTAGTAAAGCTGAATAATTAATGATCGTGGGACACTTGGAACTGTGAAATGCCATGTAAATGTTAAGGAGTAAATTACTCTGTGTATTAAATAGATATGTTGTTTTAAAAATATTCCATGTGGGAAGGTTACTTTCCAGAAGAGCTGAGAAGCTTTCGTTTCACTGGCTTCAGGAACTTTTTATATCTATTGTCTTACCCACATTTTCAGAGGCTTGTATTCTGTTTTCTGAAGTGTTAGAATGGCTTTAATACAAAAGGCTGCTTGGTCCTTTAGCTGTGAGAGTGAAGTTGCCTATTGGATTTGGGTAAAACTGTGTCTACTTGATTCTCTCTAGCCGGAGGCAGTTTGGGCCCAAAGAGAAAGACGAGGTCAGGATCATTGAGCACCAAACGCAGACCCTTCGGCTGATGCCTCACCTGGCCACGACCTTGGCCCTGACCTTCACCAGCAGGTGAGATGGCCCTCGGGGTTTGCTTTCTCAAGGTGAGTTGAGGTGCTTGCACTAATAGGAGTGAGCCGAAAGGCAGGAGGTGCTTCATTTTCTCACTGTGAGCATGAAACAGTATGGTTAAGCTGACCCTCAGGGTGAAAGTGGTATTCATATCCTGACAGTTTGTGCATCCAGATAAATGGGACCCTCTGAGAATTTGAAGAGAGTTGGACCAGAGTTTCTCCTGGGCTTCTAAGAGAAACAGACCCAGACACTTAGAATTTCTCGGTCTCTGATAAAGGTTCTAATTTACAGTAAAGTTTTCAAAAATAGATCAAGGTGGGTGAATATATTGGGCACAGGGAGGAGTCTGGCTGTAATAAAACAGCAGTAAAAGTACTATAAATTCAGTTTTACACAAGCCTGCATTATTCCCCCTCACAGACACAGGGAAGGGAGTTGCCTGGGCAGTTGTGGGTCATCATTGCATTCCAAAGATCAGAAAATTGGGGATTTGCCAGTTCTGGTTCCAACATAGAGCTCCTGAAACTCTTGGGGTTTTCTAGGTGGTAAGAGCATCTTTTGTTCTAATGAGGTGACTCTGGGTTGGCTTCTCGATGGGGGCTGGTCACCAGAAAGACCAAGCCACGATTAGAAACTTGGGATTTTTCAGCCCCATACCCCAATTCTGCAGAGAGGAGCTGAAAATGGAGTTAATGTTGGGTCATGTCTACATGATGAAGCCTCCATAAAATCCCAAATGTATAGGGTTCAGAGAACTTCCTTCCGGATTGGTGAACACAGGGAGGTGCAGGGAGAGTGGCACCCAGAGTGGGCATGGAAGCTCCACACCCCTTCCCACATGCCTCTTCCTAAGCATCTCTTCCATCTGGATGCTCATCTGTATCTCATCACATCCTTTATAATAAATTGGGCTTTTATAATAAATTGGACTTCATTAGAAGTAGAATCTTTTTGTGCTTCAAAGGACACATCAAGAAAACCAATAGACAATTCACAGAGTGCGTGAAAATTCTTGCAAATCATATATTGGCTAAGGGACTTGTATCTATAACATATAAAAATTATTGCAGTTCAATAATAAAATGACTAATAACCCAGTTGAAAAATAGGCAAGGTCTGAACAGACATTTCTCCAAAGAAGATATACAGATGGCCAATAAGCACATGAAAAAAATGCTAAAAATCATTATTCATCAGGGAAATGCAAATCAAGACAACGAGATACCACTAACATCCACTTGGATGGCTAGAATAAAAAAAGCAGGTAGTAACATGTGTTATTTAGATATGGTGAAATGGAACCTTTATGCTTTGCTGGTAATAACGTAAAATGGTCCAGCCACTTTGGAAAAGCAGTTTGCAGTTCTTCAAAATGTTAAACATGAAAACCACGACTCAGCAATTTTCCTTCTAGGTATATACGCAAGAGAAATGAAAACGTGTATTTAGAAACGTGTATATGAACGTTCATAGCAGCATTATTTATAACACCCCAAATGTGGAAATAAGCCAAGTGTCTATCAACTAATAAATGGATAAGCAGATATGGTACATTTATTCAATGGAATATTATTCAGCAATGAAAAGGATTGAAGTACTGGTATGTACTACAGTAGGAATGGACCTTGAAAACATGCTAAGTGAAAGAAGCTAATAACAAGAATCATATTATATGATTCCATTGATATGAAAATTCCAGAATAGCCATTCAGAGAGACAGAAGGGAGATGGGTTGCCAGAGACTAGGGTGTAAAGGAGGGAATGAGGAAGGATTGCTAATGAGTATGGGGTTTCTTTATGGGGTGATGAAATGTTCTAAAATTAGATGGTGATGGACTTACAACTCTATAAATACACTTATTTGAATGGAATTGCTTTGAAAATTTACCAATTGTTTGTTAATGTCATATGGAAATGTAATTGATTTTTAAATATTGACCTTGTATTCTCACTAAATTCACTTATTAGATCTAGTAGTTTATATATACAGACCCTAGGATTTTCTATATTCACAATCAAGTCACATGTGCATGGTTGTACTTCTTCCTTGCCAATATTTATGCCTTTTTTTTTCTTTTTCTTGCCTTATTGGATTGGCTAAAACCTCTGCTACAATACTGAATTGCACTGGTGAGAGTAGATTTTAGAGGAAAAACATTCAGTATTTCCCCATTAAGTGTAAATGCCCTCTGCAGGATCTCGTGGGTGCCTTTTGTTACATAGAGGAAGTTCCCTGCTACTCCTAGTTGGCTGAACGTTTTTATCATAGTTGTTGGATTTTGACTAAAGTTTTCCCTCTCCTCTTTATCTTATTTACTTAGTGGCTACGACTGTTCCAGCTTTGGTCATTGGGAGCTCTTTTATGTTGACTCCCATGTCCTCTTTTTTCTTTGAATCCCTTTGCTCAACTCCTACTAAGTCTGTTTTCTTTTTTTCATCTCAAACCCTGAATAAACTCCCTTGGTTGTGGACAAGACTGCTTTGTCTTAATCTTTGTGTGTTTGTTTAGTTAATCCTCATTGGAGGATATTTTTTTCCATTGTGTTTTTATTTAAAAAAATTTTTTTTCTAGAGAGAATGGAAGGGAGGGAGGGGAAGAGAGAAATATCGATGCGAGAGAGACACGTTGATTGGTTGCCTCCCTCTCTCACCCTGACTGGGCCTGGGATTGAACCTGCAACCCAGGTAGGTGCCCTTGACTGAGAATCGAACTCTTGACCACGCGGTGCATAGGCCAATGCTCTAACCACTGAGCCACACTGGCCAGGGCTGGTCTTAATCTTAATATTTTTAAGACTATTATTTTTTACCTGAATCCTTTTATTAATGATATGTCAGAAAACACCTAGCTAGTGCACGAAGGTTTGTTAATACTTTTTTTTAAATCCTTACCTGAGGATATTTTTTCCATTGATTTTTTTAGACAAAGAGGGAGGGAAGGAGGAAGGGAAGAGAGAGAGAAACATCAACGTGAGAGAGACACATCAATTGGTTGCCTCTGGGGCTAGGGGTGAAACCTGCAACTGAGGTAGGTGCCCTTGACTGGGAATCGAACCCGTGACCCTTTGGTCCATGGGCCGATGCTCTAACCACTGAGCAAAACCAGCTAGGTCTGTTAACACTTTTTAATTGATAAGTTGTTTCCTGTTGTTCTCACACCCTGGTTCTTAGGGGAAACTCAAGGCTGGTCCCTGTTTCCCACAAATAGTACAGTGACCAGACAGCCTGGATATTCTAATAAAGCATCAATTAAGGAATTTCTGTTAAGTTAATGGGCCATGTGTTCATTATTAGTCCGGCAAAATACCGTCACGTAGACACTTTGTGAGCTGGACTACAAAGTAGATCACACACAGGTATAGAGAGTAACACCTTACAGAGCAAAATTGTCAAATACCTGACGTGTGCCTGTGTGTCCCCACTGCCACTTTTCATTCCGTGCCCATAGCAGACATCAATGAGCGATGAGAACTCCTTTCCCACTGAGCTCACTCCTACATCCTTTTGAAGTGCTCACTTTTTTTAGCACTTCCTTCATTTATGACCACAGAAGGTGCTCCAGGGTCATGCATTTTCCCTTTTTCCTGCCCCGGCCTCAGGATCTGGTTCCTTTTATTGGGGAATGATGTTTAGAGCCAGAGGTCTGGGTGCTGGGGGTGCTGGCTACTCCTGGAGGCTCACTGTCTAGTCCCTCACAGGACGTGGCCGGGAAATGTATGTGTCTATCAGTCTATATAGTAAAACTTTAAAATTGAGTTCACACTGGTCCCTTTGACCCCAGTCCAGCACCACAGGACTTATTCCAGCATTTTTCCCTTTCTGTACTTGGAACTTCTTTCTCTGTGAGAAGTTTGACTCTCAGTAGTCACAATGCAGTTTTTTCTTTTTCTTTTTTTAGTTTCCAATGTGTTTTTTAAAATTAAATTTTTTTCAGTTAGAGTTGACATACAGTATTATTTAGTTTCAGGTGTAAAACACAGTGATTAGACACTTACATAACGTACGAAGTGATTCCCCCGATAAGTCTAGTATCCACCTGGCACCGTGCACAGTTACAATATTATTGATTATATTCCCTGTGCTGTACTTTAATTTACATGCATACTATAGTCAAACAAGAAAGCGTGTTGTAACCCGGTGACTATTTTTGCAAATTGCTAGTTATAAAAATAGTCACCGGGCTACAATACATTTTCTTGTTTGACCGCAGTATGCATGTAAATTAGTTTCAGAATTGCAAATCTGTACCACTGTGAGACGAAGATTACTAACTAGATGACACTGTTAGTGTGCAGTTATTTTCTTTAGCCTGATCTAATCATTTCATACTAAAATTCCTCTTGGAGCATTGCCTTAGCTGCATCCCTTTGTTTTTGATATGTTGTATTTTCATTTTCACTTTCGTTCAGTTCAAAATAGTTTAAAAATTCCCTTGAGACATCTGCTTCGACTGCTTTGGTTATTTTGAAGCCATGGTCCAAGAACATTCTTTACGTGAATTCTGTTCTTTTAAGTATATGGCCCAGAAATCACACAGGCATGCACATGCATGCACAGGTATGCACACACATGCACACACAGGCACACATTGAGAAGAATGTGTGATCTGGTATAGTTGGGGAGATAGTTCTGTAAGTGTCTATTAGGATAAGTGACTTTCTGCCTACTTACTCTGTCAGTGACTGAGAGAAGAGGGTTGGCATTTTCAAATATAATTATTAACCTATTTCTTCTTTCAGTTTTATCGTTTTTTGCCTCAAGTATTTTGAATCTTCTTTTAGATGCATACACGTGTAGAATTGCTATGACTTCATGGAGAATCGATTCTTTTATTATCATGTCATTTTTTTCTCTAAATCCCTATTTTGTTATATTAATATAAGTCCTCCAGGTTTCTTGCCTGTAGTGTTTTCATGGTGCATCTTTCTTCAAACTTTTATTTTTAACCTACCTATATTTTTTAAGTGGGTTTTGGGTAAAACAACATATAGTTGGGTCTTGGCTTTTTTATCTAATTTGAAAATCTCTAACTTAACTGGTGTGTTTAGACCAATGGCATTTAAAGTGATCGTTGATATTTTTGGATTAAAATCCATATTGTTAGCTGATTTTTATATTCCCCATTTTTTGTTTCTTTTTTCCTGCCTTCTCTTGGGTTAACTGAGCATTATTTATTATTCCACTTTATTTCTTTTATTGATTTATTACTCATGTTCCTTTAAAAATATTTTAACTGTTGATCCAGGATTTACAGTATAAACTTAGTGAATCAGAGATTCCCTTCAAATAATACTGCCGTGCTTCCCTGTGGTTAAGGATCTTAAACACCATGTTCGCGATTCCTCCTGCCCATCCTTGTTTCTGTTACTATTATTATATAATTTACTTCTAGATATGCTACAAACACAGTACATTGCTACTCTTTTTTTTTTTAGTTATGCTTTAGAGCTATTAAAAATAAGGAAAATAAAATTTTATTTTACCTTCATTTATTTCACGTCTAACACTGTTAATTTCTTTGTGCGTATCCAAGTTCCTGACTGATACCATATTTGTTCTGCTGGAAGAACTCTTAATATTTTTGTAGAATAGGTCTGCTAACGATAAATTGTCCCCAGTTTTTGTTTTTGAGAAAGTCTTTATTTTTCCTTTTTTTCCGAAAGACATTGCCAACAGATGCCGAATTCTGGGCTGATGGTTTTATTTTCTTGGAGCACTTTAAAGATGCCCCATTGGCGCCTTGCTCCCTTGATTAGCATGAGAGAGCGGCCGTCGCCCCCCTGGCTGTTGCCTTATGTCCCTTAGATATTCCCACTCTCGCCGCTTTTACGATTTTCTTTGGTTTTCAAAGTTCGATTACACTGGCCTCGGGGAGGTTTCGTGGTTTGGTGTGTTCGTGCTGTTTGTCGAGCCTCTGGGATGTGTGGGTTGTGGTTTTAAATCAGATTTGGCAATCATTTTGACCAGTATTTCTTTAAACGTTTTCCCTGCCCGTTCTTTCTTCCCTTTCCTCTGCGTCTCTGATCACACAGATGGGACCCGCTCCGCGCTGTCCCCCACGCCACCCACGTGCTTTTCTTTGTTCCTCTCTTTCCTCTCTGCGCTTCATTTGGGGTCGTGCTCGCGGATCTGGCTTCACGTTCTCCGTTCCTTCCTTACGCGACGACCGATGCACTGAATTACACGTGCTTGTCCCCTCTCTGGATCCAGCGCGTGGCGGCTCCCTGCGGCCTTTCACGCTCTTTACGAGGCCCCGACAGACGGTTACTGGACCGCACGCCAGAGAGTAGAATGTATCCTGCGTTTGTGCACACATGCTCTTTACGTGGAACACCAAGTAGCTTCTGCATCGTCGACACATTTCTTTTTCCTTCATCTCCATTTTTACTTTTTAGCTTGATTTAAACTTAATATATCTTTAAGAGGTGTATTGCCGCTCATAACAAAAATTAAAGTTTCTCTTGATTTTTAGGGAGACGCTCCTCAAATGCCAACATCAGAGAAATAGAGAGATCACAGTTCTAGCTTTAGGTTTCAAAGGGAGAGACTAGAAGTGATTAATGGAAATTAATTAATTAATAAACCCCGGAATGCTGACCATGAGCTATGTGTGGGCGACAGCTCTGAACATAACACTCAGACCCAGGCCCTCACCGAGTTTCGGTCTCATTGAGCTGGACTTTTCTGATCTCCTTGACTTTCACCTCCCTGAGCTCTCTGTGGTCCCTGTGTCCCCATCACAGCTCTGTTGCTCTCTTGCCTTCCTTTCTTTCCCTCTGTGTCCCCATCGTGGCCTAGGGGGGGACCTACTGAACATCTGGCTGGAGAACTTCCCAGGAAGAAGTGTCGCAGCAGGCAGAGAGGCTGTCCATGTCCTAAAACAAGCCGGGGGAGAAGCTGGCATTTTCTGCGACATCTTCTGACTTTCTCATTTCTCTCTAGCGTTTTCCGTACACTCAACTGTAAACCCACTATCGCCCCACTGCGTGCTGTTATTGTTACTGATATTATGTCAATGTAATGCAATACATTTGACAACATATACGAAATAAATAAGTTTCTTGAAAGATACATATTACCAAAAAGTGATTTAAAAAGAAATAGAAAACCTGAATAGCTTTATCTGCCATTACTGGTGAAATCTACCAAATTTTTAAGAAAAGAAAACATGGTAATTTTACAAATTCTCTCAGAACATAAAGGAGAAAGGAAAAGTTCCCAACTAATTGGAGCATTAGACTGACACCAAAATCCAGACGAAGACATGAGACCAATGTCCCTTATGACCAAAATAGCAATAGATCCCATACAGTGAAATATAAAACTGATAATGTGCAGTGACCCAGTGGGGTTTATCCCAGGAATGTTAGGGTGCTTTCACATTTGAAAATCAATCTTTATAATTGACCATATCACCATTATAAAGGAAAGAGTTTATAATCATCTCAATACATGACACTAAGCTGATGGAGAGAGCAGTAAGTCAACACCTCTAATGGCTGTCTATGCTGTCAGTCTGGGTGTCTGGCTTTCTTTGAGAAGACCAGTGAGGCCAGGCTTCATGGCACTTTCCTGGACCCTTTCAGGAAGTTCAAGGTGCTTTGAGGAAAGTGCCCAGCCCACATGTCCCTCACCCTTGACCTTAGTGCCTGATCCTGAGGCTTCCTCTGTGTTCTGGAGTTTGGCTGAGCACAGAAAGCGTTCAATGAAGTTTTTATACCTAGCAGTTGTGACAGGCAAGGACTCATTTTAAAAGGGACTTTATAAATGGAGGGTCTTCAGAAGAAGGGAGAGAAGGGAAGCTGTGGTGCTTTGAAAGATGGCCAAGAGGAAAACCAGAACCGAGGAGAAGGTGAGCAGATGGAGGAAGACCAGACATCGTGACCGCACGGCATGGTGCACATGCCCGCATGTGGCTGGGAGGAGAGGAAAACAGGGACTCGGCACTTGGAAGGAACAGATGGTTCATAATCTGTGTCAGTTTGCTCTTGGTGCTGTAACTAATCGCCGCAAACTTGGTGGCTTAAAATAAGACGTTGTCTTATAGTTCTGGAGGTTAGAAGTCCAAAATGGGTCCCACTGATAAAAAAAATCGAGGCTGCATTTCTTCTGAGGCCCTAGAGGAAAAGAGATTTCCTTGCCTTTTGTAGCTTCTAGCAGCTGCCTTGCCTCTTGGCTCGTGGCCTCTCCCTGCCTCCTCGCAGCCAGCGGTGCTGCATCACCCTGCCTGCTTTGCTGTCTCTCTCCTGCCTTCCTCTCCTGTGAGGGCCCTGTGGTGACATTGGGCCCACGTGGATAATCCAGGATAACCTCATCTCAAGCTCCTTAATTTAATTGCATCTGCAAAATGCCTTTGCCATGTGGGTAACAAAGTCGCAGGCTCCAGGCGTGAGCCCCTGCACGCCTGTGGGGGCCCTGCTTCTGCCTGGCGCACAGTCCCTTTCAGAATTTCCGTGGAAGTGGAATCTAACACATTAAAAACACAAGAGACGTGGGACATTTTTGCGTGTGAGGGGTAGAGGAAAACAATTTGGAACGTGAAGCTGAAGAGAGGCGAGCCAGTGCAGAGGCCTGGGAGGGGCCTGGCCAGAGGAGAAGGCGCGGGGGCCTCAGGGTGCCGGGTGACTGTCCCAGGGGCGCGTGGGGCCTTTGGGAGCTCTGAGCGGGGAGCGGGTTTTACCCCGCGCTGTGTCCTCACCGGTGTGCCGGGGCGCTGCAGCGTGTCACACGTGTCTGCTGGTCTCGCAGGTATGCCGGGGGCCTCCTCGACAAGGATGTCTTCCAGGGGAAGGAGCTGGTGGACAGCCGCGCGCTGCAGGCGCTGGTGGCCGGGCTGAAGGCCTACAGCACGTGGGAGAACATCCGCTGCCTGCAGGACTGCCGCGAGTGCACCGGAGGCATGGTGAGTCCCGTGGCCTGGCACGCGTGGGGGAGCTCCTGTGCCAGCCAGAAAGCCCCGCTGTCCTCTGGCCCCCTGTGCGTCTCTCAGCCTTGTCGTCTTTGCACATCCGCTGCCTCGGATGCCGCAGGACCCATGCTGACTGTGTCTGTGAAATGCTCAGCCGCAGTGCCTGGCCCATTTGCCATTGAACTTGGTGGTGTTGAGAGGGTGAGGAAGGGCCAGTGAGGTCAGATGGTCGAATCTCTGCTCCCGTGTTTCTTACCCAGGAGTTTCTAGCCTGGGAAAGAGGCACATGGGACGTGCTAAGCATTTAGATGGCTTGGTGTGTCCCCAGTCCTGGGCCTCAGATTAGACTATGTGGTGAGGGGCACCAGGGGTGAGAAATCCCACATGAATCTTTGGGGAGTTGAGGGAGACTGAGAACAGCAGGGACCTGTGCACTGTTCCCCACCACCTTCAGGATGCAGGGGGGTCTCTGTGCCTTGTGGGACCCAGAGCTGATGAGGAGGGAGCCCCAGTGGGGTCTCTGAGGGCAGGACAGGCGAGGTGTGAGGCTGTGGACCTGTGACTGGGTCATGTGGCAGGACTATAGGCATCAGTTGTGGTGGCAACTGTGGTTCAGCCCCAGACAGCAGCCCTGTGTCAGCAACCCTGGGACAGCAGCGCTTCCTGGACCTCCAGATGTCGCCTCCCGGAGAAGAGCAAGACCTTTGGCCTGCGTTTAATCCTGAACTTGGCTGAATATTTGCCTTAAAACAGCAATTCTGAACCTGAAGGGACGGGTGAAGAGTTTTAGCCGCAGTGAGAAGGAGTCAAGAGGAGGTCAAGGGCAGCTGTAGAAAAGAAAACGGGGAGGATGAGTGTCTGGAGAGGGGCTCCCGGCCTCTGCATCAGAGCTGGGGCCCGGGAGGGGCGAGGTGGGTGGGCCGGGCCTTCAGGGCGGGCAGGGCCCGAGGGTTTCTCCCACGGGAACGATGGCCGCGTGAAGGAGCGCCTCCTGTGCTCTCCCATCCGAGGACCAGCGTGGTCATTTCTCTGAAGGAGGCTCAGCGAAGATGTCCATGGGACACGGGGGCCGCGGTCAGTCATGCAGGCACTCGTGTCTGTGGTGGTGCTGGTGGTGGTGGTGGTGGTGCTGGTGGCGGTGGCAACAGTGGACATGCCTGGTGGTAGTGGCGATGGTGGTGGTGGTGGTGGTGATGGTGGTGGACATGCCTGGTGGTGATGGTGGTGGTGGTGGTGGCGGTGGTGGTGGTGCTGGACATGCCTGGTGGTGGTGGTGGTGGTGATGGTGGTGGTGGTAGTGGCGATGGTGGTGGTGGTGGTGGTGATGGTGGTGG